GTGGGCTGGCCTTCCCGGCCAATCAGAAAGGCAATCATGCTCTCTTGTGACACTGCCGGGCAGCCTGGCTTCCTGACCAATCAGGAAGTCGGGCAGCGGGTCATGACCTTCGGTCCGGTTTCCTGATTGGTCAGGAAGCCAAACTGCCTAGCAGTGTCGCTAGGCAGCATGAAGGTGGCGTCCCAGCCAATCAGGAAGCTGGAAAGCGGGTCATGCAGCATTTTTTCCAATTGCACTGCCCCGGGACGGAGGGCATTCCTGTACCTCGTGTCCCGGTACATGCCTGCGGTGCCATTAACATGAATGGAACCCTCACGCCCCATCCTGCCCCAGAACGCGGCCCGGCCTGATCTATGCAATCCAGTGTGATCCGGGCTCGAACCTCAACGAAACGCACTGGATATGGTGTGACTGGGCCCTCAACCCTTGCAGTGTTTTTTTTTTAGCTCCATTTTACTGCTACCATCCACATGTGTTTTCTGCTGTCTTTATTTATGTGATATTTATCAAGACCGCCGTCTTATTTCCACTTTAGATCATTATTCCCCTCTAGATGTTTTTCCAGCAGTGAAGAGCAGACGACTCCACGCTAGTGATTTATTTTTATCCAATCTCCATGCAAGTAAACAGACAAAATGCACTGCACGACACAGATAGAGGTCACATGTATCGGGGGAGAAGTAATTCACAATTAAAGTTAAATGAAATGGATGTGTAGGAGGACGCACAGTGCACAGTCAAAAAAGCAGAAGTGGAATGTTTGAATGGATGTGTCGGTCAATCATAACAATGTCGTCCTCATCGTATCTGCTATATTTAATTTGTGGGAAACAAAGAGACAAGTACCTGTTTTCTTGTCTATATTTGCTTAAGTATTTGCACTCGTTTTCTCAGAGGTCACCTCTCCTAAAGTGGCTCACTGATTGGCTCATTGCCACGACGGCTTGGAGTTGTCTTTCTGCGGCTTGATATGAATTCCAATTGCTGAGCAAAACTTCACATCCTGTACTAAGAAAAAGTAATATGTAAACTTTAACTGTGAACTTTTCTTACTTCTGTTAAATATATCATAAACTCTTATCTCCAGGAATCCTAACCCCCTTTCCACTTCCACCCCCTCTAACTGATAACTGGAGTTAAAAAAATTTTTTCCACATGCCCCTTTGACTTACCTGAAGTCCAGTGGTAGGCTGAAGGCTTTCCAGTGGTAGGGTCCTCTCAGGATCAAGAACAGGAATGATGTCATTGCAAGGGAATGGTAGGGGATTGGCCGCCCTGCGAGGGACCAACTGAAGCACTATAGTAGCAGTCCACCGCACCCAAAAATGATGATAGACCTGGAGGGGGGCTACTTTTGTTCCCCATGGTCACTGTATGTTGTAATGTAGTCACCGCTCCAAGCTCACTCCTGTGATGGACTACAATCTCACTATTAGTTTACTAATTTGTATTGAGATTGTAGTCCATCACAGAAGTGAGTCCTACGGAGGTTGCAGTGCTTGAATGGAGTGAAGGTAGAAGGCATGAGCTGCTGGACAGATGAGTATAGCAATGTTGCAGGGCACCTTTTTTTTTGTTTTGTTTTTTAGCCCAGGTAGGGTCATTTTGCATGGTTAAAAAATGACTCTACAAATTAGCTTAGCATGCAACTAATGGCCCCTCACATACTACTGGAGTAAGGAGGGGGGTCAGCAAAGGCACTTTGATCCCAAACAGTATATACTCACATGCCTGAAAGAAAATAATTTCCCATGTTCTTCTAATCCAGTTGCTGATGGTATGCTGGGGTAGGGTATGCTCCATATACATTTTTTAAATCACAATTGCTGCCTACTGTATGTCCACAATGGGGAGATTTTTCTTCCTGTCCCTGTGGTAGGAAATCATATGGATGAAAAAAGTTGGAAAATCAAACTTATGAGGACACAAAATACAACAAAAAACACTTTTTTTTAGTTAAAAGAGAACTATGGGGTAAGTGTTTTTCCCCATAGTTCTCTAAAGGGTCACAGGAGGACATATACTAGCCTCTTCCCATAACCCAAAGCTCAGTATATCGCGAGCTACAGCTGAGACCACGGCAGCCGGGATGGATCCCAACAATGCTGTCGAGATCCACCCAGCTGTGTGAGTTACAGCGGGCTCTGCCTATCTAGAGTCCAAGATAGCTGTACCCGCCCCCTTCCCTGTCTGTTCCTCCAGCCAGCGCTGGAGGATCGGAGCCGGGAGGGGGAGAATCCCTGCTCTCTGCAAGGAGACGATCGAGAAGTGAGCGAGCGATGGTATGCATTCGAAAGTGAGAAATGTCCACTGTTGCAGGAATATAGCAATAGAAACCTGATAGGCGATGTAACTCTTTGTACAACTTTTGTACATCTGCTTTGTACAAAAACAGATGTACAAAAAGTTTTAGCTGGGCTTTATTTATTCCAAGTCATATTTAACAATTAGTGATAAAGACAAAACAATAAAAATAGCAAACCACATGGCTATAAAACAACAGGAGCAGTGTCAGAACATTGTACTAAATCAACAGAAGCAAACATGGAATAAACGTAACTTTAAAAGACAGACAGCTAGCTCGTTGAATCTAAGAACAATAATAATAACATAATTTAATATATAATAAAACACAATCGGCTAGACTATCATAAAATATGAGATAACAGGTTGGCAGTTTTTGCTCATCAGCTCACCGGCTGCACTCCATGTTTTTGGACAGAGAAGGTTTGTTCATAAATATCTCTTCCATGCCATCTGGACGCTCAATAACCCAATGCATCTGATAATGCTTTGTGTACACATAACATTAAATAATCCACAGTGTAAGCCAAGATGCTAGATCACCCGTTACCATTTAAGGGGAATTAATGTTTATTTAAGTGATGAGAAATGGTACTGTAGGATATTGTACTGTTATCCATAGATGATAATGTTGCTGAGTACTCAGACCCTAGTTAATGGGCTTATTTTGCTTCCTTTAAAGCCCAATTGAACCCCTATGATTTATTATAGTAATGCATCCAGGCTTCATATACTCTAATAAATCTGTTTTCATTTTACTGTAAGTGCTGTAACATAGGGTTAAAACACCCAATGTTGCAGCAATATGTAGAGACCGGCAACTGCTCTTTAAAACAAAGCAGTGGCCCAGCTGCCTTGCGGTCCATCTCTCCCTTCCCCAGTGCACCAGTGAGCAATATTCCCACTACTTGAGCAACACCGTTGATTAATGCACTTGGGTTGGGGCATGTCAGACTGCAGGATCATGGGGTTGCTGCTCTGTGGTACAGAAGTTTCGGTCTGACCCTCCAGATTGCTGTAGTGGCCCACCTTTTTTTTCCCCATTAGGCCAAAGGGGTTTACCAGATTGGAAACCCCTTTATGGTTGCCATTGACATTAAAAAAGGGCTACTCCCCATGAATTCCCACCAAGATGTAGCTGTTGGTTTCTGGACTTTTTTTTTCTCGTGTGTTTATTATTGTAAGGATTGATTGTTCACCAGAACTTGATAATCCAGTTAAGAAAATATTTTGGCTTCCCAGACTCAACATTCAAGGTGTCTTTGGCTAAGAGTGATACACTTGTTTCTTGCAATATCCATACCTTTCTGCATGGATGGTGAGAAGAATGATACAAGACCCTGCACTGACCACTGGCACACTTATTGCTCTTTTCAACTTAGAAATTGTCAAATGAACTGCAGAATAAGTGCTAATGTTTTTCTCTCCATCTTAAGTGTTAGGGATGGAGGAAAGGCATATGACTGGATACCCCTTCAGGTCTTCACTGTTGTCTGGAACTGTAAGAGAGTTATATCCCACTCCCCTTTGCACAGAAGGGACCAACAGAGCTCACTTTTTTTTTGATGAGCTATTTGAGTAACAAGCAAAGTTCTATATGTGGCATATTCCTGTGATGAATCCACTAGACAGTTGATGTTACTATGCAGGACATTAACGATACATAGCATTAAAGAAACGTTTAGCTCCAGGAGAACACAGCACGCAATGTCCTGCTGTAAGGCTCCCCTAACATTTAACCCTCCCTGCAATCCAAACCCTACCTACAAATTCAACACTAACCCTCCTACTAAGCCTTCCTACAACCCTAAATGTAACCCCCCTATAACTCTTTCACTAGCCCTGCTTGTAACCCTAACACTGACTCATCCCCTAATCCTGACACCTACCTTCCCTCTAACCCTATCACTAGGTCTCACTGCAACAGCCCCAACTGTCACTGTAACCCTGACACTAACCTCCCTTCACTGTAACCTCAACACTGACTCTTCCTATAATTCTCGCTGTAACACTGGCACCTACTTTTTCTCTAACCCTCTGGTATATATTTATTACAGGTAGTTATACAGCCCTAATATTTTAACAGAGCCTTATATACTATTTATTCACCCCTCCAGTCAAGAAATTTACATTCTAAGATCTCTATCTCACATGCATACATATACACTCATACACTAGGGTCAATTTAGGTAGGCGCCAATAAACCTACCATCATGTCTTTGCAGCGTAGCAGGAAACCAACACACAGGGAGAACATGCAAACTCCATGCAGAAAATGCCCAGGTGGTTTTCAAACCAAGGAGCCTAATGCTGAATGCCATCAGTGCTAACCATTAAGCCACTTATCTGCACTAGTCTTTCTACACCAAAAGATATCGGCACCGGGAATATACATTACATAAATCTCAGTTCACCCAAAAAAAAAAAGTACTCATCTTAAGAACTGAGATCAACAGTATCACAGCTGTATTGGAAAGGAGAAGGAGCTAACAACAAGACTCAAATGAGAAATCAAGGCTTTCCAATTTTCAAATGTTTCTGTTTTGGGTTGCGCTGTTGTTAACAACACCAATTGTATAGAGCTGGTAAGAGCAGTCTGTGGAGTGAGGACATCTCTCAAATCTCCAATACACTGTAAAGACATAAAACACATCCATGTTGCAGATTTCTAATTTTCCCATCTCTTTGTATTGCAGTAACCCTCTCTGCCACTACTCCAGCATACTTCAGAGGATTCACACTTATTGCACTGAAAGAAGGTAAAGAAGGGGAGAAAGAAGAAGATCATGCAGGGTCATTTCAGGTAAGAATATTGTCTTTTTAAAGGAGAACTCAAGACAAGATTAAAAAAAATCTCTAGGAAATGTATATAACAGCAATGAGTACTTGCCGTATTGTGGTTATCTACATACATCACTCAGAGAGTCTAGTGTGAATGTATCTCTACCTTTGTACTCCCATTATGTCACATCTGTGGTGCTTCAAATGGGGACCAGAACCACCAGACCTGTAAATATATGGGCACAGGGGCTGAAACATCACTGTCCACAAAGCAGTGCTCAGGTTCAGCAAAGGCCAAAAAATTAAATCTCAGTGGGTGGGATATTTTTCTAAAGGCCTGCCATGCTGGAAAAAGTAATTGTCCTCCTTTTCCACCTTTCCCCCTTCTCCCCCAATTATTCTTGAGGGTTATTTGCTTAGATCTGCTGGAGAGCTCTCACTACCTGTAGTTTAGACCCGTTTGTTAAAATCGAGACATCCAACAGTTCTTTTTCAGTAATGCTTAAAGAAGAACAATAGGCAGAATAATACTTAACCCTTGTAGTGAGGCTACATTCACACTGCAAGGGTTAAGTGCTCATTTTTATCTAGGGATGAAAATAAAAAAGATATACTCTGAACCTCAAAGCCGACTGGCTGTTAAACCTGTCCCTGTAGCCTCTCCCCCCCCCCCCCCCG